AGGCCGCCGCCGCGGGGGGCGGGAGCGGTCAGGGCGTGGGTGAACCGAAATGCGGGTTCTGAGTCGCGGGAAAATTATCCGAGGACAAAACTATTTGGTTGCGAAAGTGTCTGTGGGAGTCCTGGGCGAGAGAGGGCAAACATACGCTGCACGTCCGAGCGGGGGCTAGTAGGTTGCTTTCACTCTGATACTTTTAAGCCAGACACTTTAGATAGTTGGCCTCTGCAGTCAAAGCGTATTCTTAGTGCCCGAGTAGAGGGGTGTTTCTTCTCGTACAGGCATACGCATGAAGTGTCTGTTGGTGTCTTGCATCCCTGTCGCATGTTGACTTCATTACATGCAAGTCTCTCTGAAGATCATCCCGTTACTGGTTCCAGCGAACTCGCCGAAACGGTGAAAGTTTGCAGCGTGAACGGAGCATGCATGGGGCTTCTCATTCTTTCTTTAGTAATAGACTTTATGCTTTTAAGGGTGAGCATGGTTAAAGAACTTGATCCAATATATGCATTTTTAATATACTTGAATTGCTGCACATTGCTGTGTTTCACTAGCAGTTTTCTCAGCCCACATAGCTTCGTAAAAGAGGTTGCTTTTAAAAGTAACCCAGCAGGAACCTGATTCAAGCAAATACTTGGTTTTGTAGCCCATTTGATGCTGATCTTTTTTTCCATGAAAATACAAGCCCGTTTTTTTTCATTAACCTGTTCCTAAGGTATTATGCAAGAGGAGATGCTGAAAATGCAATGCGATACATCAATGGAACCAGACTTGATGATAGGATCATAAGGACAGACTGGGATGCAGGATTTAAAGAGGGTAGACAGTATGGTCGTGGAAGATCAGGGGGCCAGGTAGGTTGTTGTATAGCCTTAATTTTTAAGGGGCTGGTGACTTTGCCAAATTATTGCTTTTTGCATGAGCACACTCAGAACAACTTCAGAAATAGCAACTTAGAATTATTGTTTAAGATAGCACTATAGTCTGTAAGACATCAATGATGATGTTATCTACTAAGAATAAATAACTTTTTCATATATTTCACTGAAAATACTTTCAGAAACTTCTTGGCTGCCTGGGGAGATAATGCTTATAAAGAAGCCCAGAAAATGTAAGGCTGTCAGGAACACAAAGAACAGCGCTTTGCTTACTTAAGGTTGAGCAGGTAGCAGGTGCTTTTACTGCTGAAGCAGGAGGCTAGCTATCCTCGCTTTGGCTGTCTTGATTAAAGAGTCCCCCTGGACATTATTAAAAAAGAAGTTAGTTTATGTTGTGTTCTGGGCTTCTGCATGATGCATTTTGCCTTCTGTTTTGTCAGTCGGCTCCTTGTGGCCACTTACATGTTGTGAACTCAGTTTGACTATATTGTGATGGTGTAATAGTTTTTGAGAAATTGTTTGTCTTTACTGGACTTCCCTTTTTTCCTCCTTTGTAAGGTCCGAGATGAATATCGGCAAGACTATGATGCTGGAAGAGGTGGCTATGGCAAAACTGTTCAATGCCAGTGAATAGCGAATGACTCATCAGCCTCACAGGAGAACTAAATCTGCCTTGTAAATGTCACCAGGCACAAAGTAGGTCTGTTGCACACAAATTTATGTAGCTAGAAATTCACAGAAACTACTGTCTGTGTTCCTGTGATCGCATAGTATGTTCAATATCTCTTGCATTTTAATACCAGGATCCAAAGCATTGCAGAGTACATTAACAGAGAGGACCTGGGAGCAGGGTTTTAAGCAATAGTATGCGCGAGGCTTTGGTCTCTAAATGCTGCTGTAACTCTACTAAAGGAACAAAGGTTTAACGGTATGGTGCTTTTTTTCACTGGCAAAACTTGATTATTTTATCACTGAGTTTTGTTTACATTGGTATCACAGGGTGGAGAGTGGCAATAAAGGAGGGTTGGGGTATGTTTCAGAGATGAAAGAAGAAGGCAAAGAGCCTGAAAAGAAGTGGAATTTCTAGGGAAATTTCCCAGTTTTTAGGGAAGACTTAAAGTTGCAGATTTTCTGGGGTTACTGGATTAGCATCCTTTTACACTGATGCTGTTCCTAGCACACTTACATGAACGGCCACAATAAAACAAGTCAGACTGATGCGACCAGGAATCATGACGTGAGAAGCAAGCCTAGCAGAGAGCAGAAAACAGACCCTTGCAGTCTTCTGCAAAGTATAATGTGATTGCACGACATTGCGCGATTCAGAACCATTTTGCTTTGTGGGATACAGAGAACAGCAAGTGTAAGAATTACAGTAGCAGTTATTTTCACAGTTGGAGTAGTAGTATTTTGCTCCTGTCTGGTAGCTCTCTACAGCCTTAATATTTGAGGAACAGTATGTTTCCTGTGCCTACAAGGGTGGCGTGAAGCCAAGTTGTACAGTTACCCCCCAAAAAATGGGACGTTTGAGGAACTGTGTGTATAATGAGAAAGTGTGTTCTCAAAATAGATTTTCTATTTGAGAAACTTGATTTCAGACAAAGGTAAAAATAAAAAAAGATGAGTTTTGGGAGGAGCCTTACTTTCTACTGAGCATGTGGTAAAAATGGTAAAGGAATTGCAGGACTGTATAGATATTTTTTCCCCCTTCTGGATCCTATTAATACTGCTAGTATGTATGATGGGATTTTGATGTACTGCAGACATAGGAATAAAAATTATTAGTGATCCCAAGATCTGTGAAATTGACCTGCTGAAATGAAATAGTTTAAAAGGAACTGTTACAGGGCTTTGGATTATTTATTTTTACGGACTTCTGAGTTCTTTGGGAATGGCAATTCATAAAGGTGTGTCCAAATACCTTGTTGTCCATGACTCCTTAAAAACCTTTAAAATACCAGGTATGTAAAAGTTGATCTTTACTCACTGAAGATACTGTTGGAAATCTTGATACGTTTCCTGTGTACAGTTAGTCACCACCGTTACTGTAAATTGGAAATACAGTGAGGTAGAACAACTGCAAGGAGACTTTGCTTACTTAGGAAGCGGGTTTTTGGGTGGGCTTTGGTTTTTTTGGCACATAGAGTAAAACTAGATTTTCAGGATCGCTTGGTGCTGGTCTGCAAACAAGACTTTGGACAAAGGTACCTTTTTCTATATAATACATTTGATTATGAGTTTACAGCCTGTAATCTGCTCTAGGAAACATCTGAAGTTTATTTTTTGTTGTATCAATTTTGTATAAAAAATTGTATTACCAAAACTCTAAGTCACTTTCAAATAAAGCTGCAACATTAAAATGGATTGGTTTTTTTTTTTAACAGAATTGGTGAGAGAAAGGGGCTATATTCAGACTCTGGTCCACATCCTTTATTCTAGTGTCTTTTAAGATGGAGAGAATGAATATTCCTTTCCTTTGAGTGGACTTTCAGTCTCGTTCAGTTCTTAACCGGATGCTGAAAGATGTTTTTTTTTAAGTGCTGCAAGACAGTTATTCTCAAATGAAATGGAGGCAATAATAAGATTTTCCCTCAAAACCATCACTGTCTTTTTGCTGAATACGTGCAATGTGTACAGACAGATTTTTGTTTTAAAGCGAGATTTTTCTATTTTGAGAGAAGTCTCAATCAAAATGGGATTTAAAAGCACATGATCTATCATGTAAAGTCTTAGTATCTCAAAAGCGCATAAAGAGGAAATTGATTGAACATGGTTTGATTTTTGCCTTCCCTAGCTGAAACTGGACATGGCTCTGCTGAAGCTAGTGCTTAACAAAAGTAACCGAATTAAGTCTTTAAAACTTCACTGGGGGGCTTCTTTAGCTTTCTTACATGCCAGTTCGTTGTGATTAGGTTCTCTTGGAAGTAAAGGATCTCCTGTGATTTTTTTGACATGCCAGTTCATTATGATTATGTCCACTTTCATAGAAGTTTAAGCTCTATATTAGCTTTTCTAAATACTTGTTCGTCATAATTAGGTACTTCTATGGAATTGTATCCATAAAGAAATACAGCAGCTGAGAATACGAGTGGAAGCTTAGATATGCCTTGATGGAAGAGAGGCTGTTAGAAATTAAGGCGGCGAGAGCTTCAGTCTCTCCCTCAGACTGTCGTGCAGGCTCATGGCGGGTTGATTTATATGCCTCCCTTTGACACCAATAGCTGCAAATAAGGTTTGTATTCACAGCATTTGAGTCTTTGTATTACAGTATAAAATCAGTAGAGTGTAAATTGGAGCATTAAAGGTCTTCATTTTCAATGACTGACAAAGTAATACCTGTTACCAGTGTACCCCTGCAGGCTTGTTTCAAGGTGGTCTTTATATTAGTCAGGTTACGCACTACCCTGTGCAGCAGCAAAGTTCCTGCTCAGGTTGGTGCCAGTGCAACCACCGTTGGTGTTAATGTAATGGTTCTTTCTACACAGACAAATCTGAGAGACAGAATGATTAAAGTATTTAAGCTAATATCCAGCACCTCATCTTCCATATCTTGTCAGATTAGGCTTCTTGTGAAGGTAAAAATTGATGAAAAACTCTACTAAAACCGACGTGGTTTGTACAAAGGCTTTCATGTATACCGTCAAAGACAATGCTAGTCAAAGGAAAGCGGTCCACAGGGACTGAACATCTAATAACCTGTTGTCCATTTGAGTTTCTCAAGCACGAATTGTACCTCACGCTACAGCATATAAACGAGGAAGAATTGGAGTGGGCATTTTTTCTTGGCAGTCTGGGATTTCTGCTCCTAGCTGAGTATATTTGGTACTTTCAGGTAAGTGTAGGGCCTGATATGACTACAGGTGAAGTACCAAAAAATTGGTCAAGACTGCGGAGAGAAGCGTCCTGGGCTTCAAAGTGTCTATCATGTTTGGGCTAATTTATTAATTGTCTGCTTTCATATGTCTCCTGCCTGTTCCTATCTAAATAAGCTTTTGCACAAGGGATTGGATATGCTCAGAGCTGCTCTGTAGTAATGCACACAACTCCTCTGCTCTCCCTTTTGGGATAACCAGGTGGTGTAAATGTTTCTCATGGCTTGGGGGAGGAGGCCTCCCTGCCCTTGTCTGGCTAAGACCGGTGTTGAGTCCCAGCTTGTGACTGGCAGGCGTTATCTCCATTACTGCTTCATCTCTTTCTGTCCCATGTAGACAGAGGAAGGTTATTCAAGGTTGGCTGTGTTTGGATCCCAAGGTTTCAGTAATGGTGCAAACTGAAAACAGGCCTTGCTCCTTTCTCAAAAACCTGTGCTCTATCCAGACTGGATGAGAAGCCATAGTAAAGGAAGGGGACAGTTTCTTTTTGGGGGTCATCTACTCAATTTTTAAGAATTAATTTATTATTTGTATGCTGAGATCAAAGGCTTCTAGCGTAAAGCTCCTTCCAGGCTCATTTCCAGACCTTAAACTGATTGAACTTCTTTCTTCCACCTGCAGACAGCCATCAGCACTGCACGAGGAGACACCACAGAAGTTTAAGTTAAGCAAATTGGTCATGAACTTGTCTATTCCAGAGCCTTGTACAGCCCGTAAGGGATACGTACTCACAAAGTTAGGACTATGCACTTTAGGTATCTGAAGTTCCCAGTATAGTGTCTGATTATAGACGTAACTAGTCATGATCAATTCCAGAAAACAGAATTTGAGAGAAAAATAGGTCACAAAAGTCTGTCTTTATCACCTACATATATAATTTACTCTAAGCTTGGCCCAGAGAGGTCTTCTGCAGGTCCTACTTACTTTCTTAATGCTTCACAGTTACGTTTTCTTTTCTATAGCACATTGTGGATCAGGAGTGAGCAGAGTCTTCTATGCTCCATTCTAATTTCTGGGCAAATGATCTAGGTCTGGAGAATCCATAAAAATACAGTATTTGTATGTTAAGACCGTATAACTTCACCCAATGTCTTCACTACAAGGGTAGAAAGGATATATTGCGTCCCTGTCAGTTGAAGGCAGAGTCACATGAAGAAGAAAGTTTGCTGACCTTCAGAAAATGCTTTCCGAAAGCAGGAGAAATCCATTCTTGTGTCAGGGTTCCACAGTTTACGAAGATTACCTTCCTGCCACTCTGCTTCCCAACGTGCTTTCAAAGATGAAGATGTACTTTACTTCAGCGAGGTAATGTTCTCCAAGATTATTTTAGCTTCTACCTGAAGGTTATTTGAGTGTCTATTAGGGTTCCTTACAGAAAAAAAAAACATAAACAGGTAGGCAAACTCTTCTTTGCAACGCTTACTAGTTCGTATGTTTAGATCTGACACAAATAATCTTTCCCTTTAGCAGAGCCATGAAATTTGAGTTTCAAACACTTGAGGAGCGGCACAAGTAAAATGCCAGATGGCTCCCTCTAGTGACTACAAAATTAGTATGCTTTTATATTCTGACATAGCGAAGATGGTTGCTGAAAGCTGTTTTGTGCAGCATGCTGCATGTCGTACTGTCTCAAGATTTTGCTTTGGTTTGTGTTGTAAAAATGGACAAAAAACCCAATTTTCATCTGTAGACCATTTTTCAGAGTGGAGGCAACTAGAGATCAGGATTTGTGGGTTTGTAGCCCATCGCTGTTTCTCTGTTTAGCGACAGCTTAGTTGTCTTTTATACTGGATATCGTGATATGCTGTGTCTGGGGTGACTTCTTTCCCTACCCCCAGCAACCTCTTCAGATTTTGCCAAAGGCACACCTGTGATATCGAAGGGGGGCTTGCCTCTTAGATGCCCAATCCGTGCTTCACAACCTCCCATTAATTATATTTTGTGTAACTGTGCCAGCAAACCCCCTTGTGCCAAAAATCTGTTTTTCAATCTCTAGCAGGTTATGAAATAAAGTTCTGTATTACACACAAAGCAAATGTGTGCAGCTTGACAAGCCAGTAGGCAGGGTCTTAAACGTCTGATTCATTTCTGTGGAGTTACAGTAGTCCTTCAGGCACTTTGCAGGCTTTAATGTCTATTGCTTCAGAGTATCTCTGTGGGAA